CGGTGACGGCTGCGGTTGTTGCGGCGGACGGCTGCGGGCGGTGTGCTCGGGAAGCCGGTGGCCGCGGGGCGCCGCAGTGGGGCGTCGACCCTTACCTGCAGGGCGTCCGGGACCCCGCGCCGCAGCAGAGTCGGAGGCTGAAGCGGTGAGGCAAGTGGGAGGAAGCGAGAGATGACGAGTTGGCGTTGTGAGTGAGGAAGAAGGAAGCGGTGCGGCGAGTGGCGAAGGCAGTGGAAACAAAGCGCCAACGGAGGCGGGTTGGGAGTAAAGATGAGATGAGAGTAGAATTGAAAGGGTTAAGTTGCAAGGTGGATTTGCAGCTTGAATGGCGAGAGCTTAAGAGGCGGAGGCTGGAACCGGAACGGGAAGCAGCGGTAGGGAAGGTGGGAGAGGGGTTTGAGTGGAGAAAAGAGTATGGGGTCATGGAGCTGAGATATGGATAGTGGTTGTTTGGTTGTTTAGTGATTCCGGGCGCGTCAACTATTGAGGTCATTAGTCCCATACGTGTAGTGCATGTTTCTCTCGAGCATTGATGGTGGTCAAGATCCTCCCCCACTGGGTGGTGATATCCTGCGCCGATCGACCGTCGAATAGCAGGGTTCCCCCAACAAGGTATCTCCCAACAGACGGCACCGCCTCAGCCGGGATAAGCTCTAAGCTACCGACCGGTATCCCGGCATGTTGGCATAGGTGCATGTTGGAGTAAGTGTGTGTATATAGGGGGTGAGGATAGGACAAGAAAGAGAAAGGAAAGATCGCGCGCGTCCATGGCCCGTTCGTTAGAATATTGCTTCCGCATTCGCCTGGTTTTGATCGGAGAACCGCAGAAAACTACCGATCAGAGCAGCCAGGCTCTATACTTCTCCTCCAGACAGCGACTTAATTCGACGAAGCTAAAATCGTGTCATCATCAGGGCTTGAACCTCTTGAACCTAGCACTTCCAAGTCAGAGGGAATACAGTGACAGCAGTTGATGCCTTGGTCTGAGATATGGATGAATGGAAAAGAGATGCGGAGGTGATGGCAGTGGCAGGAGAGCAAATGGCGGTGGAATAGACTGATCTGGAAATGGAGAGAAGCAAAGAAGGCACGATTTTAAAAAACAGATGAAACGCTGCAATAATGTATTCTTTAAGAAGATATTGATATCTGATGCTAGTACAGTGCAGATAAATGTTCTTATGTGTGAATACTCAGTCATTTCAGTACATTAGTCAAACAGCCCAAGCATACTAAAATTTGATGAAATATTATTATTACTCTGACAAGTATTGAGTTGCCCTTTTTTAGCATTAGAAGTTAAATGTATTTTCCATTTATTAATCTGTGATACTCAGAATCTTCCAAATATTTAAGTGCAAGAAGATCAAACGTCTGCAAGCAATTTAAGATTGTATTTTTAAAAATCAGAACAAGAGCCATCAGGCGATCACGAATAGTTTCCTCGGTCTAATCTCTTAAATGAAACAAAGAGTAACAAAATGGAATAGACGAGTGGAGATGAGTAGAGTAGACGCAAATAAGAAGTGAATGTTGAATCCAAAAAAGGAAGGAAGCAGTGGAGGGGTTTAGTGGGGTAGCTTCTCGCTGTGCAGCGCCACCGTCCTCGGCTGAGCACCAGGACCGCGACGAGGGGCGCAGTGGGGTGACGAGCGACGTGCGTCATGACATCATGGACCGCGATGGTGGCAGAGCCCGGAAGGGAAACGGATCGTTTGAGGTGGAGAGGTCAGGGAGGCCATTAGAGACCTTGGTGATAGGACGGCGAGGGAAGATGGGGCGTCAGGAACAGCCAAGGCGACGCACGGACGCGGCAAGGGCGGTGGGAGTACCGAGAACGAGGAGGACGACAGGAACGGTGGAGGAAGACGGAGATGCAGGAAACTATGGGGAACTGGTGGGTGGAGGAGGCAGCGAGGATGATGAAGGCACCAGAAGCAGAGGGGATGGAGGGAAAATCAACGGTTACATAAGCACGGACGTGGAGGCAGAGATATCTGAAGGGTGCGGAGTCGATGAGGTCTTCGTGTGCGGGTGGAGGGGCGAGCGCGGGGAGTTGGGCGGGGGAGAGTGGGGGAGGCAGCAGCGGTCATAGTGACGGGCAGAGCTTTTCAATTCACATATAACATGGTGGAAACCATTACAGTGACACTCACTCTTGCAGCACCTTCTTACAGGAACTAAAATATGAACTGCTGCCAACGATACTTACAACGTGCGTGCCTGCTGCTTTGGGTTTGCGATACGCAAGCAGGTTGCTATAAAAGATAGTGTCGATGTTCGCACTTTCTTCAGAAGTTTCTTATTTTTATACATTATGAAGAATTGAACATTCAGAAGAGACTTTACATATTCATATACATACACTCGTATAGTATCGTAGCACCCTCCAGCTTTGTCCTCGATTTTGGTAGAGAGTCGCAAGGCCCTGGTGGAGGGGTTCGTCGGAGACGCGGGAAGAGAAATGGAGATGGAGGAAACGGTGGGAAACTCGTACGTGGAGGAGAGATCTAGGACCATGAAGGGGCCAGGAGGGGAGTGGAGGGCGGGAATGGAGGAAAAAATCAACGTAATAACATTAGCACGGAAAGGCAGAGGCTGCGGCAAAGGGGGACGGAGGCGATGAGGTCAGTGTGAGAGCGTGGAGGTGGGACGAGGGGAAATCGTGTTGGACGGACGGTGATAGAGGCGGCTGAGAGGGAGGCAGCGGCGGTGATAAGAGGCGAGGGCGGTGAGTCTTGCGGGGAGAGCAGGATCGGCAGATGTGGCGAGAGCAGGAAGGGTGGTGAGGGGAAGGTCAGCGGGGGCAGCCGGGGTGAAGGTCGTGAGGACGGCGGGTCGCAGTTCGCCGCCGGATGGGGCGAGCGCTGCTGGCGCCGGTTTAATTAAAGCGGATCGCAACGGCGACGGCGGTGGCGGCGGTGGCGGCGGCGGCGGCGGCGGCGAAGGCGGCGGCGGCGAAGGCGGCGGCGGCGAAGGCGGCGGCAGCCAGATTTCGCGAAAATTCGCGCGTCCTTGGCGTTGCAGATGAGCCCGAACGGATGAGGGTTCGGAGCGAGTGCGAGACGAAAGACGCCTGCCCACGCCCGACGGCGATGGAGCACAGCGCGGCCAGCGCTGAGGCTGAGGACGACGCGCCGCGTTCGGAGATAGCCCACGCGGCGCTCACGATCCGAACCTCAAATTAATCGAACTCACTCGAGCTTCAGTTCGAAACGCTCTGGCACTGCCATGCAGTGCCCAGTTGCTCAGTCGGAAATCGCGTCTGTTGAAAAAGGATGTTCACTCTTCGCATTCTAAATAAAAGCGTACATCGTCTTGAGTGAATAAAAGTTAATTGTACTGAACTCAGTCTCGGTAACAGAATTAACGAATTAACAAAACGAAATAATTTATATATAGTGCACGCGACCCTCACGATTGGAACCTCATATTAATCGAATTCACTCGAGCTTCAGCTCGAAACGTTGAATTAGCTGTTGCACTGCAATGCAGTACCGAGTTGTTCCGTCGGAATTCGCGTCTGATGGAAAAGGATGTTCACTCTTCGCATTCAAAATAAAAGCGTAAATCGTCTACAGTGAATAAATGTTAATTGTACTGAAATCAGGATTGGTAACAGAATTAACGAATTGGAAGGAAACCCATAATGCCGCGGCGATTCTGGAGGGAAGGGTCGTGTGTTCGAGAACCGCCTCGGGCATGATTGTATGTGTTATTAATCTCCACGCGTAGTATTTATTATGGCTGTTGCAACCACATTGTAAAATTATAAAATTATTTTAATTCATTTGAAAATTAATCAATTCCTTTTAGACACAACATTGGAGTAAAAAATGTAGTGTATAAAAAAGTACCTAAAAAACTATTCGACCTAAACAGTAATTAGTGCGAAGCGGTCACCGTAAGCAGAAGGTATGTAAATAATCAGATTTATATCGAACATTTTTAATAACACTTTAACGTGTGTGTTGCTTAAATGCAATATATACGCGTTTTGCATGACATCACACAAGGAAGAAATACGCCAATTCTGTTTGCCATGCGACGGTAACGTCGCTCTAGCGGATAAGTTCCGAAATAGCGCAAGCTTGTCGTTTTAAATATCTGTTAAGATAGGTATGTAAATGCTGGCAGAAAATTAATTTAAAAAATTGGATGTGGATTTTATTCCCTCACGTCAACTTGCTCGATCTCACTGTGTTGCCATTGGTACGTAATGTCACGTAATGGACCGTCACAATTGTGGCAACATCTTACGGATGTAAATATAAATTGTATAAAAATCTCAGCACTCAAGCATTTTGATAGAAATTGAAATTTTGTAATGGGCAATAAATGTATAATCTATCAACTTATTTTTGAGTTTTTTTAAATCAATAGAAAAATCCTTTATTGGGAAAATAATTAAAGCTGCCAGAAACCCTCTTAATGTTACAGATCAAATTTGTGACGCAAATTGTAACGGCGGTAAATATTTTTAAAAATATTTTATTTAGGGTTCCGTACAAACTTGATACGTTAACTTAGGGGCGTTTAGGGGCGTTTCTAATCTGTGCGAGCGCCTGTCGTAATCAAGTGCACGTTTTTTATATGCGGTAGCATCGTGTCCTAATTTTGTGTGCCTGTGCCCCAGCGGTCCACATGCTGCCCCCCCCCCCCTGAGGACAGTGCCCCTGGCAGCCGCCCGCCTCGCCAGCTCCTAGCTACAACGCTACTTTATCCACCTCACATTTCAATTTTGTTCTTAGTTCTCATTAGTCAAATCAATTTGTACAACACTTAGCTAATGAACGTCAACTCTACGGCAGTTCAAATTTTGCAAAACTAAATTATCTTTTATCTTCAGTGGGAAACCCCCTACATTTTCTAGTTAAACCAATTTATTTAAAATTCAGTTGTAATGGGTACACTGATAAATCGGCGCTGCTAAGCCTCCCAAACATTGATTGATAAAATCCTTTACAACGCTCATTACTATGCATTACCTCTGTAATTAATAACTTATTTTTCTTCGTTGTGCTCATTAGCTTTGTTTTCTTTCTATTTTAAATACCACAAATACCATTATTATCACTTATTTTTTATCAATGTTTAGTCATTCATAGTTATTTTGCCTTGTACACATACGTCAATGTATTGATAAAACACGTACTTACCGAGATCTGGTATCACGTTTTACCCTATTCGAAAATTCAATATTTTCCTCTCTGTTACTCCACCCACCACCTAGCGCATTTAAATCTTCCTTTCGCCTTGATCGATCCCCCAGTCCACGCCCCTGTTGTTGCAACCGTTCCTTCCCGAAAATCCCAAGTAAATCGCACGTCGCTGACGCCAATTGTGCGTAAAACGCTGTCCCCTCCCCCCTCCGCCCCCGCGTCGCACCAACCCTAAATCGCTGAAAGCCGAACCCACCTCCAGCCCTCGCCGACGCACTCGTCCCCTCTGCCAGGGGGGAGCGAACTCGTCATGAAATATTCATTTCTGCGAAAACTGCCTCTCCTTTCGACATAATCGTGATTTAACCCTCTATTATGCACATAAAATATCAATCTCTCGAATATCCGATCCGAATCGACATTATAAGGAATTCATTCTCGCGCCGGGAGGGTGAGGGAGAGTCAACACGATTTCCTTGAAGAACATTTTTAAAAATTCATAAATCGATCCGGGAGACGTGAAATACGCACGCGGCGATCGGGGAGCGGGTGGCAAGGGACACGGGACGGCGAGCGCGGCGGAATGTGGGGCGGGCAGAGGGCGAAGTAACGGGTGATTTCTGGAGGGTGAGGTTGGAGGCGATGGCGAGCCCGAGTACGAGAGTGGCAGCACCGATCCGTGACAAGTGTAATCTTAAAAAGAGTCGACTCTTGTGTCGTTGGATGAGTGAAGAATCGCAAAGAGAGGATGCAGCAGTGTGGAAGTGGCGATGGGGGAGGTAGCGTAGCAGGGGTTTATATTGCATGAATGCAGACTGAGCGGTGAGTGGCAGTGGATTGCGCGGGTGATAGAAGTAGCAGAGCGGTAGCTACGAAGTGAGAAGGTGGGAGATGCGAATACGCTACTAGAATCGATCAAAGCTGTACAAAAAAGACAAAAAATACATAGCTATGAATAGATAAGGGAACAGATATTTCCAGTAGCAGCTGTATTGAAAACTTGTGAAATGGAAACGTAACATACTGCAATTTAAACTACAAGAGATGATGCATGGTGGTCCTGCAGAGCCCCAGCACAATCCAGAAGGTAGCTGACGAATGAAGAGTGGGGGCGGCAGTTACGATGAGGATAACAACTTAAAAAAAAAGTGACAGTAGCATTTTCGTGGCGGTCATGGCTGAAGACAGCAATAACAATGTGTGCGGTTTCGTTATGATGGCAATGTGGGCTAAGAGAGTGATGAAAGTTGAAGAGATGGAGAACAATTCAGGGGCAATGGCGATTTCTGAAGTGAAAAGGAAATGCTTGAGTTCCGTGCGATGGACGAATGTGGCAACGATTACGCTAGCGGTGGCGGTGTCAGTGGAGGTGAAGGTGGCGGGGTCAGAAAAGGCGGTGGAAGCGGCGATGGCGGGAACGATACCTGTCGTCAGGGTGGTGGCGGTGGTGGCGGCAGCGCGATCTGCATGCAGCGCTCGTCGCGGCAACCTCCAAAATCAATAGCGCGCAGTCTCGCGGTAACTCTCAGAATTAAATATTATACTTACTGATAAAAGTTGGAAGTCGTTTAAAAGAGAGGGGAAATTACTTAGGCCGCGCGCTTTAGGATATTAAGTTAGAACTTAAATGCGGGGAATGAAATTTGGCTCGCCTCCTTGGCGTGGCGCGGCGGTTGCAACGCGAAGGAGCATTTCCCAGGGATATGTGACCCGTGATCTCGTATCACCAACAAAGCAAATCGAAGAAAGAATTAACTACTAATCGCATTCTATTTTTGAATTACATGTGCAATATTAGGCATCTTTGTTCGAGTGAAACATCAACAGCAACTAATATAATGCATCTTACTTGTCTCTGTTTCGTTTTTCCTATTTGTGAGAAATAATAACTCGTATTACAATATACACTATCTTTTTCTTTCTCTGCTATGTATGCATTCCCTTTAATACTTCTGCAAATTGGCCTTATTCCTAAAATCACTTTTTAGAAAAGTACTAATGAGTGATTGGTATCTGCAGTTAGAATAATGTGAAATAAATAGAAATTGCCTTGGTTGCCTGATATGAAGTATGGTAGATGACTCCCAAAAGCAAATAACTGTGTGTGCTGTGTATGTCGATAAATTCCAGATAATAAAGGAGTATTCTCTTGATTTTGGACTAAATAGTGTAAGATTAAAATGGATTTTTGTGAGGTTTTCTTCGAGTAAAAAGGAATTTTTAACAACACATATTTAGTGTATCTTTATCAACAGTAAAAATATTAGCCATAACCTTAATTCTGATATCTTTTACACTCTTACCAACTTTGTAGTTATTTACTTAATTAGGGCAAAACATGGCATACGAGTCAAAATTTGATGAAACTGATGCCAGGACTTAAATTTTTCATTTTAAAATAATAAGCCGAAGGCACTTTTGTATGACTTACATACTTTATTTTAAAGTATGAATTCATGGAACTTACAATTATTACTCTTCAGATGAATCCTAATTTGCAAGGCGCCAGACATGTTGGTTCCTATCGCGCCTGTTGAGTTTACATTATCTACGAAAAGAAACGTCTAGGTACTGCAAAGTCTGTTTTATTTAGCAAAGTACTTATCAATCAATATACAATGAAGGTAAGTATTACTCGTAGTTTCCACACAGAATAGCGGCAAAGGTATTTAAATAATTCATGAACGCCGACGCCACGTGAAATTTTGTGTGGGTGGGTGAATCATTTTTTCACGGAAGCCACCAAGGAGGTGCTCAGCGAGGAATGCGAATGGAAGTGCAGCAGAATTATCGATTTCACGAAGCTCTTGTGGTTCACAGAATGCGCTTGTCGCAGCGCAGATGTTTCGTGACGGGGGACTGCTTCATTCAAAAGATTCCTGGAAAGTTCTTTTCGAGGATAAAAAGTTCTCGGAAGTGTGGACGGCTTTTTTAGACAACATTTTTTATTCACGTTCCTTCTACTTCGGTTAAAACGTTTAAATTTTCTAGGAGTCGATGTTGTTTGAGCATTCTT